GAGTTCCTCCCTATTTGTTAAAATCAAGTCTAGAACAGCTTCCCCCCAGTAGCTTTTTAGAAGTGTCGCAGCTGTAAGAACTTTCGTCCCAGGACACAGAAAGAATGCGACATTCACTTGAGGGCCCTCCTCATGGAGGCTGCTCTTTGCCCAGCCTCTGAGTCGGCCTGGCTGGACACAACGCCCAGCACTTCGGCCTCGGTGCATAGCGCACTGCTGGCATCGGACTCTTCCTGGCATTGATCCCCTTCACCGGTGCCCAAGAAGAAAACTAAGAAGAGGGACCTGACACTGAGCAAGTCGGATCGAGGGGCGTTGCACAAAGGACCCTGCTCGGGTTGCCCGCCTATGCCGGAGCCTCAAGGGGGCACGCCCCCAAGTGGACCTACTACCCCCCTAAGGGATCCGCCACCAACTCCAGGGAGTGATAGAAGACCCAGACTGATGGTGCAGTCAATGCACTCTCAGCTCCCGGCGCCCAAAGAGCAACAGACTCTCCCACCACAGCTGGCACTGCGTGCAGCGATGGACCTGGTGAAGGCGCCCTACGAGGGCAAACCAGCTGTGAAGGCCTCCCAGAAGGTGAATGAGTGCCACCGGTCTCCAGAGCCAAGGCAGGGCCCTTTGTCGCTGCATCCTTGGTCTCTGTGTCAGTCCATGTCACTGGTTCGCCATTGCAGGTCACCGGCACCGTGCTCATGGGCTCCACCCTCGCGCCGGGCCTAACCCAGAGGGAGGCACTGGTCGCCTTACAGTTGGCATGGGTCGTCTTCGCGCCAATGGTTACCATCACCAAGACCTAGAGGACGCTCCCCAACACAGTACCGCTCCCCCTACTCCCGGCATTGGTCTGACCATTCAAGACACCAGTCACCCCCAGCGATGGTGAGCCGCCATATTCAGGCGTCGATGGCCGTGCCCTGCTCACCGGAGGAGGATTTCTCTGGCATGGAGAGAGTTTAGCCCCTCACCGAGACAGCACCATCATGACTGGGCTCCGGAAGTTGCATACACCACAGCGATGCTGACCTGCCAGTGCAATGGCCTTACTGGAACACTTGGGGTATGCCGGTTATGCCAATGCCCCCATCTCGCCAGTCCTTGGTCACCGTATTGGACAAACCCCAGTTGGCACCGGGTTTGGTTCAGGAAGCGCCGGTGGGCGCTGTGGTGGAGGGACAGATGCCCACCTTGATACCCCCTTCCCCTGTGGGGAATGATGCCCCGGGCCCTCCCGCAGTGGTTCAGTCGTCTTCGTCCTCTCCAGACAAGGGGGTGGCGGGGCCCTCCCATGCTAGCCCACCGGGTGACTTTAAGGAGCACCAAGTCCTGCTCCGACAGGTGGCCACTAACTTAGGCCTTGAGGTGGAAGAGATAGCGGAGCAATTGGATAAGTTGTTCAGTGTGCTCTCCATGTCCACCCCCTCATGTGTCGCAATCCTGGTGCATGAAGGGGTTCTGAACATTGCCAAAGCCCTCTGGAAAACCCCATCCTCCATCCCGCCCACTTCCAAGAGGGCTGAGAAAAAGTATTTTGTCCCTGCCAAGGGGTTCGAATACTTATATACCCACCCGCCCCTGGGGTCATTGGTCATGTCGGCGGCCAACAAAAAGGACCAACGGGCCTGCTAGTTCCACCCCCAAAAATAAGGAGGCCAAGAGACTGGAGCTTTTTGGAAGAAAAACTTACTCCAAGGCCAATCTCCAGGTCTGGGTAGTGAACTACCAGGCTCTTTTGGGGCATTATAATTTTAACTTGTGGGACTTCCCTCCATAAGTTTAAGGACTCCGTGCCCTAGGAAGTGGCCCAAGAGTTGGGGGCTCTTGTGGAGGAAGGTAGCGTAGCAGCTCGGTGCTCCCTCCAGTTGGCCTGGGATGCGGCCAATTCAGCGGCCAGGGTGGTCGCCTCAGCGGTGGTCATGAGGCGTAGCTCCTGGCTTCCGACTACCGGCCTGTCCCAGGAGATGCAGTCCTCCATACAAGATTTTTCGTTCAATGGAGTCAGACTGTTTTCTGATGGATGCAAAGCTGCAAGGTCTGAAGAATACTCGGGCCACCCTCCGTCCCCAGGGGATGCATACAACTCAGTCTGTGAGGAAGTCATTCCGGCAGCCTCGGCATGGATCTACGAGGAGAAGGGACGCTGGGTTTAGTCGCCGTTGCCCTTCCTCCTCCTGTTCACAACTTGGCCCAGTGAAACACCATGGGGGCCAGAAGCAGGCGTTTTGAGGGTACACTCGAGAGCGACGCCCCAGTCACCTCCTTGGCTCTTCCCCATCTTTTCCTCAACTGTCTTCATGCCTACCGTTTGGCCTGGTCGAGAGTCACCTCAGACCATTGGATGCTAGAAATTGTGTCGCTGGGCTACACTCTTCAGTTTTCGGCCACCTTCTTCCCTGTCCCTCTTCAGGGACCCTTCTCACGAGCAACTCATCGTTCAGGGGGTAAACAGTCTCCTACAACTGGGGGTGATGGAAGAGGTCCCTCGGGAGATGAGGGGGAAAGGTTTTTCCTCCCGCTATTTCCTGATCCCGAAGGCAAAATGGAGCCTGTGACCGATTCTGGACCTGCAACGACTCAACAAGTACCTCAAGAAGTTGAAGTTTCGCATGGTGTTCCTGGCCTCCATCATTCCTTCCCTGCATCCAGGAGACTGGTACGCCACTATTGACTTGAAAAACGTTTATTTCCATACCTCTATCTTCCAAGGATGCAGACATTTCCTCCGTTTTATGGTGGGCCAGCACCATTTCAAGTTCACAGTGCTCCCCTTTGGCTTCTCCTTGGTCCCATGGGTCTTTACAAAATGCATGGCCCCGGTAGCTGCTTACCTGCGGTGTTGGGATCCAGGTCTATCCTTATCTCGACGATTGGCTCATCAAGGGCAGATCGCAGGATCAAGTGCAGAGCAGCCTCAATCTGGTGCAGTCCACATGCCACGACCTGGGCCTGTTAATGAACAAAAATAAATCGACCCTCGTACCAGTGCAATGGATAGAGTTTATCATGGCGGTTCTTGATTCCACACAGGCTAGGGCATTCTTTCCAGAGACCTGTTTCCGAGTCATGTCAGATGAAATGTGAGGGGCCACCCGCTCACCACTGCCTGTACTTGCCTACGGCTGCTAGGCCACATGGCTGCTTGTACTTACGTGGTCCGTCATGCCTGGCTCCACCTCCGGCTGCGGCAGGTGTGGTTGGCGTTGGTCTAAATCCCCAACAGGCACGACAAGGTTCTCTGCTCGGTGCCCCCATCCGATACCCTCGTTTTAAACCTATGACCTTCACCTCACTCCCTGGCTTTCTCATTTGTTGTTCCCCGCATTCATTTGGTCCCTGGGTCCAGTGGTCCCTCCCGCTAGGCTGGGGGAGGGGCCTTTAGAAGTGGGCGGGCTTGTGCCCGCCCACCTCCCAGGTTTCCAATAAAACAGGCATGACCTGGACCTGGTAGTAAACATGTCGGGCCACATCTGGGCATCACTGGCGTGATGGCAGGATCCCGCATCGGTGTTGTAGTGAGTTCCCTGTGCATCCCCGTCGCTAACTCTGGTGTCCGATGCCTAGGACCTAGGCTGGGGAGCCCACCTGGGCGAGGTCAGTACACAGGGCCGCTGGTCAGCGGTCGACCGCTGGTCAGCGGTCGACCGCTCCCTCCACATACATGTCAGGGAGCTCAGAGCTGTTCACCTGGCCTTCCAGACTTTTTGGTCCCAGTTAAAAGGCAAAGTGGTTCGAGTCCTGACTGACAACACCACCACAATGTTTTATATCAACAAGCAGGGCAGAGCCAGGCCATCTGCTCTCTGCCAGGAAACCCTCAGATTTTTTTCATGCATGCAATGTTAGTTATTATTAGTATTACTAAGGCTTTAACTTGGTTTTTCCCAGATGGTTGTTGGGCTCACAGACAGAATTTCTCATCTTTTTTTTTTGCGTGCAGCATGCCATTCATATCATGGCAACGCACCTCCCCAGAACCAGGAACATGTTGGCAGATCGTCTCAGCAGAACCTTCTCGTCTCGCCACAAATGGTCTCTCCACCCCGATGTGGTTGAGCAGATCTTCCGAAAGTGGGTATCTTCCCAGGTGGACTTGTTCACAACTCGCCAGAACAGGAAGTGCCACTGGTTCTGCTCATTTTGGGGGGGTCAACAAGGGCTTCCTGTTGGACACCTTTCTATTTCCTTGGTTGGGGGCTCTGATGTAAGCTTTCCCACTGGTGTCAGTGCTTCACAAAGTCCTCATGAAGATCAAGCAGGACAAAGTCAAGATTATCCTGATAGCCCTGGTTTGGCCTCGCCAGCAAAGGTGCTCAGCACACTCATGGACCTGTCAGTGATGATCCCAATTCCACTGCCCCACTGGCCGGATCTCCTGTCACAGAATCATGGCCAGTTCCTGCACCCAAATCTGGCAGCACTCCACCTCACAGCTTGGTTGCTCCATGGTTAACTACTGAGGAGTGGGAATGTTCGACCCGAGTCCAACAGGTCCTACTGAGGAATAGAAAGCCCTCCACTAGAGCAACCTACCTCACCAAATGGAAACTATTCACGTGCTGGGCCTCGTCCCAAGTGGTTAGCCTGAGCAGGCCTCGCTGCAGCTGATCCTGGACTGCCTTATGCATCTCAAGCTCCAGGGTTTGTCCCTTTAATCAGTTAAGGTCCTCTTGGCTGCTATATCTGCCTTTCACCCTCTGTTCCACAGCAGATCGGTCTTCACTTATAGCATGACGGTCCGGTACTTAAAAGGTCTGGAATGGTTCTACCCCCAAGTCTGGGTCCCAGTCCTTCCGTGGGACCTGAATCTGGTACTTGCGTGGCGCATGAAAACTCCCGTCAAGCCCTTGGCATCCTGTTCCCTTCTTCTGCTCTCCTGGAAGATGTCATTCCTGGTGGCGATAACTTCTGCCCGAAGGATCTCTGAGATTAGGGCACTTACATTGGAGCTGCTGTATACGGTGTTCTTCAAGGACAAGGCCCAGTTGCAGCCGCATCCGGCTTTCCTGCCGAAGGTGGTTTCCAATTTCACACAAGCCAGGACATATTCTTGCCAGTCTTCTGCCTAAAGCCTCATACGTTTGAGAAGGAATGTAGGTTGAGCTCCGTAGATGTCAGGAGAGCACTAGCCTTCTACATTGAGAGGACCAAGCCATTTTGCGAGTTGACGTAGTTGTTCGTTGCGGTGGCATATAGGATGAAAGGTCATCCAGTGTTCACCCGGAGAATTTTATCTTGGATCACAGCCTGCATCCGATTTTGCTATGATCAGGCAAAGGTGCCTCCACCAGTGATCGTAACCGCCCACTCAACTAAAGCACAAGCCTCGGTGGCGGTCTTCCTGGCCCGTGTGCCAATTTCTGATATCTGCAGGGTTGCCACGTGGTCGTCCATCCATATGTTCACATCTCACTATGTGCTTACCCAGCAAGCCCGAGATGACGCTGGCTTCGGTAGAGTGGTATTACAAGCCGCTCAACTGTGAACTCGGAGCCCACCTCCAGGAATACTGTTTGTGAGTCATCTAGAATGGAATTGACATGAGTAAACACTTGAAGAAGAAAAAACAGCTACCTACTTTTCATAACTGTTCCTTGAGACGTGTACTGTAATGGGTTGGACCCCTTGGCAAGTCACCTGGTGTGCTGAGATACCACAGAGTCTACCCTGTTCTGCCAGCATGGGCCCCCTTTAACCTGTCTTGCTGAGCCAGGCTCTTAAAAGCTCCTGTAAAACACACAGACACCTCTGGGAAGACTCAGCTTAAGGGACTTGCTCCAGCACTCAGATGTCCACCTCCCTTGGAGTACAGACCCAAAGATATAGTATATTCACCTCTTCTCTCAATGTGGAAGATGGTATGCACAATTTCTCGCCCCCCCCCCTCCCCCCCGTTAGAAATCATATAAAGTGGGTTGTATTATAAACCAGAAATAAATTTATTAACTATAACAGGTGTATTTTAAGTAGTTAAGGAGGTAGCAGACAGAACAAGGCAGTTTACTAAGAAAATAAAACAGAGCACGCAAACTAAGCTTAATACACTGGTTACATGTGAGTTCTCACCCTAAATGTGGTTCTAATAATCTTCTTCACAGACCAGACACCCTTCCAGCCTGGACCCAGTTCTTTCCCCCGTTCAGTCTTAGTTGTTTCTAGCAATCATCTTGGGTGGGGTAGCAGGGGAGAACTGACGACCAGGATTACCTCACTCCCCACCCTTAAATAGGATTTGCATAAAGCGGGAGTCTTTTGTTTTCTAGTTTGACTCCCTGTCCCTTACGGTGGAAAGTTACAAGAAGTCCCAGATAATGTTTTAGTATCAGGTGACAAGATCACCTGACTCTGTACCCTTGTAGCCATTCTTCACAGGAAGACTAAGCTCTTTTACAGTCCATTGTCCCTGTTGATGGGCCATCCGCCCTGTCTGGCTTTTCCATTGTTGTACCTGAAGTGTTGGCAGTGGCCGTCACCCACAGTAACATAGTTGAAATACAGATAAAGTCAATATTCCTAATTTCAGATACAGAAATGATACATGCATACAAATAGGATAATCGCATTCAGTTAATCATAACCTTTCTAGTGATAGCTCACATGAGCCATCTTGCATGAAGTATATCTCAGTTTTGTCATTCATATCATAAGCATATTTCCATAAAAAATATGGAAAGACAGGTCACAGTGTTGCTCATGTCCATTCCATTACCTGCCCCTCTCGGAGTTGCTGACAAGAAGGAACTGAGAGGGCGTAGGGCCAGTGGCGCCTGATATACCGATGCATGAACGCAGCACTCAAGGAGGCACCACAGCCAGCCTTACGGATACCGCTAAGGCAAAAGTCCCGACAACTGTGCACATGGGCGTGCACACACCTAGAATGGAATGGACGTGAGCAACACATCTTGAAGAACAGTTATGAAAGGTTAGGTAACCGTTTTTTCTCCTTGGATTTCAGTCTTACTCAACTGGTTAAAAACGTACCTGTTTTAACAATATCTGTGAAATAAGATTATATTTTTATTTATAGGAAATGTAAATGAAATAGAATATAAACCTATTAAAAATCTGAACATTTTTTTCTTTTTTTCAGGTGACAAATGTTTTAACTCTTAACTCTTGTATTTTCTGTTCATCATAGACCTTTGAAGACAGTGACTTGTTCCATTTGATTGGTGTTGTCTGTGGGCTCGCAATATATAATTTTACTATTGTAGACCTTCAGTTCCCCTTGGCTTTGTACAAGAAGCTGTTGAATAAGAAGCCTTCTCTAGATGACTTAAAAGAGTTAATGCCTGATGTTGGCAGGTGAGCCGATATAAATTGAATGACAGGATAACCAGTGTATCATCGTTCTTATTAAATGCACTATGTAGTTTCATGTAATGTACAAGAAATTGAATAAATAATATCTCAATAAATAGACAAAAAGCTCTAACTAGAATAATACCGTTAGGCTAAAAGTTGAGTTTGGATTTACACTACTGTTTTATAAACCCCTACTTTCAGATGCTTAGTTTTGGGATTAAGAATTCTTTCCTGTTTGGAACTTAATGTCCACAAATTTTGAAATTTTTAGGTTCAGATGTGTGTGTTGTAACTATAACTCATCTTACTTTGAACATAATCTCAGTTTTAGGCAATTTCTTCAGTTTCTAATGAGGACATATTGATTTGCATATTTCAAAAACAAGTACATGTTATGAATTTGAACTTTTTTTCATTTGAGGATATATAGTTAATATCAATTTTTGGAGTATTTGAAACCAGAAAATTCAGAGAAGACCATTTATTTTTAATGTATTGTATGTATATTGTTCCCATCTTCATTAAACAAAAATAAAACAGAACATTTTGATCAGTTGGCAAATCATACTCTTTTGAGGAGGATCCAAAGGTGCTTGATGGGCTATTATACATTTTCCTCAATGGCTCATAACTGTAGTGTCCCATGTTCCCATCCACCTCTGTTTGACATGTGCCAGGCAATTAAGGGAGATTAAGATATATTTTTGGATTGCAGCTCTGCCATCTTCCATCAACCAAAGGAATATCTGCCGTCTTTTGTGTTATGCCTAGGTCTAAAGCCAGATTGCTAGGAATGAAGAAGAGTTAGAGAAAATATTTTAAGAAATGTAATAGCATATAAGGTCATAGCAAAATGAGGAATCAGAATTCAACAATATAAATCCCATTGCAAAGTTTAAAAAGAGGACCTAAAGTTTAAGCTCCTAAATCTATATTTAGTTTCGTAAGTAAGCTTGAATGGATTTTTGAAATGCTGAGCTCTCTGAGCTCCCATTGAAGTCAGTGAGAGACTTTTTGTAGAACTTGCCTTTTATTACTAAATATTTTCTTCTTCTATAGACTTTTCACTTACTCCATAAACAGTATTGAAACATATATTTAAGGTACTGAGACAAAGGATCAGGCTGCTATCATTCTACTTCTCTCAGTACCCTACCTCTTTTCCCATTCTGTGAGCCCTCTTGCTCCTTTCCAACTCCAAAATAAGAACCCTCTCACCTTGCTTCTAGAGTAGACAATTGGAAGGAATTAAGGCCTCTCAGAAATGAAGGGAAAACAAGAAAATGTTTACTAAGCTTTGTGCTGCATTTCAACTTAAATGAAACATGAATCAGTGGAGGGTTTCCTAACTTTGCACTTCTAAATGCTAGTCATCTAAGTGAGAAATCCAAAGAAGATAACTGTAGAAAGATACAGAACTGACAAAATACTGAGAACACATACTCAACATATGTTAATTTTTCAATGCATTAAGATGAAGACAAAATGTATTGTTTTGCAGAAGTATGCAGCAGTTACTGGACTATCCAGAAGATGACATAGAGGAGACATTTTGTCTCAACTTTACGGTAAGCTTTTGAATTTTTATTAAGTATTTTACATGTCGCTTTAACTATCCATTATGTTTACCTCTAGCAGAATATATGTTACCAAAAACACTAGCTGCTCTCCTATTAGAATTTTGCATTCAGTTGGTATTTTAATGTTAAGCTGATTGTGAAACACTGCCCATGGCTGAGGGCAAGTCTACACTACAGCGCTACATCAGTGCAGCTGCGCCTCTATAGGGCATCTGGTGAAGACGTGCTGTGCTTTCCCGTTGGCGTAATTACTCCACCTCATCGAGAAGCGTAAGCTACGTCGGTGGGAGAGCATCTCCTGCCGATATAGCACCAGTGTGAGCAGCTTGTGTTGCTCGGGGAGAGGGTGCTTTTTTGCACCCCCGAGCAACGTAAGTTAGATCGACTTAGGCAGTAGTGTAGACCTGCCCTGAATTGAGGGAAATGGTCTTTTGGAACAGTAAATGAAGTGTACTCTGCGTTTTACTTTTAAACAGATCACTGTGGAAAATTTTGGAACAACAGAAGTAAAAGAGCTGGTTCCTAAAGGTGCTGACATTCCTGTGGTCAAACAAAATAGGTAAGTGAATTATAACAGTGCTGGTGTAATGGTCAGTTAGTGCTTCAATTTTAGCCAGTTTCAGAAAGGAATAACTTGACTGCTAAACATAACTTGCTCTGATCCAGAAATTAGCATATTTGGTGTAGGGGAAAAAAGCTTTTATTTAACATGATGAATTCTTCCACTTGCTGAGAGAACATAATTCATGCTGTAATTTATTAGTTGCTATTTGAAGTATGTTGTTTCAACTCAAATTTTTAACTTGAAAGCTATGTGGGGCCCATTTAGACAATTCTCTTCGTTTTATAAGGTTAGGTTGTTTGCTAAATATGCCTCCCTAGAGAAGACAACTCATATCTCTTCGTAATGGCCTTAGACTGCTAAATGATTAACCTAAACAAAACTGTACTGATCTGCAAGGAACTTGAGTATAATTAGAATTTGCTGAGTAGCAATCAAAGCCTCCTTTTTGATGCAGTTTTGTAGCCTCCCCCAATTTGGGAAATGTAGTTCTGGAGACATCTTTTCCCTTTGAAGAAAAGGTGAATGAGTCTGATGGTAAGGAACTTGCAGCATTCTCAGGCAGAGATTTTTGTTATGGAAGTCATGGATTCTATTACTTCTCTTTTAAAACAAACTTTTTTTTATTAATTCCCACTCCACTCCTTTCAATGTATTGGCAGATGGGGATGACACCACTTGTCCCTTTGTGGAGGGCCCTGATTTAGTTGCTACCAATTTTCTCCCCCCCTCTCCCCGCACTGTCCATTTTCTCTCTCTCTCTCTCTCTCTCTCTCTCTCCTTCCCCTCCCCTATATTTTTGTTTGTTCTTTTTTCCCCTTTGGCTTTTTGTGTATTTTCATCTTTCTTTAGTTTTTCTTTTTAGCATGCTCCTGTTTTTGCTTCCTTTTCATGGACAGGTGGAGCAGAGGACATGTTCCTTGAGACCATGACATGTGCTTACAGCTGGACTGAGTGTTTGTGAGGACAGGGAAAATATGCTTGGCTGGGTAGATTGCTGCTTGAGCCTATAGTCCGATATCTGAAAGCTATTTCTGCAACTGGATCTATTAGGGGCGAGTAAAGAAGAAAGGTGGGAGGCTTTGAGGGAGCTATCCACTCATTTCACCATAGCTATGACCGTCTTTGCAGTGAAGATATCCCACAGTGAATCAGTTTTCCTCACCCTAGTCTGGCATCCACCACCAGGAGGGCTGGACCCTAAATTAGTGGGGAAACGTGGAGTAAAATTATAACTTCCATGTTTGCTTGATGTCTGTGTTCTAGCTATGTAATTGGGGGGAGCACTGCACCACAGTTCTTCCTGCCTCTCAATCCTTCTACTCCCTTACCTCCTCCTCTCTCTCCAAAGGGCAAAAATTCAAATGCTGGGGTTTCCAGATTACTTGTATGTGAAAATAAAATACATGATCTAGTGCTCCAAGATTGCTTTTGCCAACAGTAGGAAAGAGCCAGAAGTGGTGGCTGTGTGTTGTGATGCTCCTAAACACCATATATTTCAGGAAATGTAATGCATAATTGTTCTAATATGTTCTTTTTCCAGCATCCATAAGTCTAAGCATTGCTTTTGCTTCTTTAGTAGTCCTGTGTCACACCCCGATCACTTCAGACCTCCGTAAGAAGCCCGTAACTTTCAGTAAAAATTGCATCCATAATTATTATATATCTCTAATATTGGAGCCAGTTCTCCCAGTCCTCTTGTGAGAGACAAATCTTTTTTCCTATGAAGTAAAATAGTGTCAAAGCTTCTGAGAACTTCGATGCTATGACCCCTGTTGTAGAGCTTATGGTGGGAAAAGAAGCAAGAAGGATGCTCTTTTCAGGTGCAGACCAGGTGTGTGATACTTTGTCAGCAATTCCACAGGTCTCCCATCAGAAGCCTAGGGCACTGGCTGATTGGGACACTACTCAGTCCATGCTGTTCAGTGCAGAGTTGTTCACTAGTAAATTGATCACCATCTATCATGAGAGAGGCGTCTGACTTTCTTTTAGAACAGATATCTGATGGGTGCAGTATAAATACATGAGTGGATGATACATCAAGGTCTTAGTTAATTCAACTCTCTGTAGGCAGTGACCTAGTTCAGTTTGAATTAAGAGTGTTCCTTGGGGTATTCTAGCTATTTGTCTATGACTTCAGGTATAGGTGCTTTTCTTATGCAATAATAGTTTCATTTGAGAATATTAACCTTGTGTTTGAGTCGTGGAATATGGTTACATTAAGAATACCAATGATGCATAGGTTGTCCTACTGCACCTTACATTTCTTGGATGACATATCCTTGTAGTTGACTTGGGCTCTCATGACTGCTGTAACAACTATGGACCCATTCCAGGTAACCTCAGACTCTGCCTATATAACTCACCACATTTTGCTTCAAGATTGGCGATCCAGTATGGAAATTAAATTTACATCTTTGTTGTGATCAAGAGTGTCCCCTTTTGCGCCTTCTTGCTGGTGGAGTTGTTGCATTCATCGTCCCCTGAAGACGAATGGACTAGATGAGTCAGCTTCACATATGTCAAAGGAATAATACTGTATAAACATTAGATGTTCTGTCTATGGCTTAGTGGGACATATCTGTCTATAACTGATTGAGAAATTGTTTCTTTAGATTTAGTTAGATATAGGCTATCTTATTAGTGCTATTTTTAATAATTTATGTACATGAGCCCAGAAACATTGTGATGAACACTTTTTTTTTTTAAATCAAAAGATGCTTCCTTTTCTGAAACCAATAAGAATCCTTTTCTAAAAATGAATATTTAAAATATATTTAACAATTCTAGCTGATGGCTTATGTCGTGTGGAAAAAAATACACTACACTACTTTACTGTGAGGTTAGCAGTTATGGGAAGGTAATAGCACCAGCACCTGTAATCTCTCAGTTCTTTGAGTGCTGGTCCCTCTGTATATTCTACATGTCGGTATGCATGCATCTCGTACACCTGAGACCAGAAAAATCTTTCCAGTAGTATCCATTGGTCCTGCACCCTGGATCTCCCCGTGCTTAGCACGAAGAGTATAAAGCAAAGTACAGACTGACCGCCTCTCTATTTCCTTCTTACCTCCGCATGGCCTGAATCGGAGTCCTCTGTGCCCAGAGTTATTCTCACCTCACCTTTACCTTTGCAAATGTAATTGTACATAGTTTGTTAGTGTTTTTGTTGTGTGTTTTTTGTTGTTGTTGTTTTTGTTTTAAATTTTACATAGAGAAACTTAGTTTTTTTCCCCATCTTAGGGACCCTGTCTGTCTCTCTCTTCCCGGGAGTAGGACTGTGCCCAAAATTTTGGGACTTAAAACTCTCTCTTGTCCTCACAGCTTCTCTGTCAGCAACGACCACCGGGGCTGCCTATACTGCCTTAGAGGAGGCATGTCTCTGCCAGTGTAATATCTGTTGTTCCTTCCCACCCTGGACCCAAGAGAGATGAAAGCTCCAAGTGAGGAAGCCCTTCATGGAGAAGGCCACATGACTCCAGTCAGATCCATATCAGGGAGACCACCCTGTACATCAGAAGCAGTCTTCAAGCTTTGTGCTTTCTGTAACAGAAGCTGGATCAGATAAATCCTGAAGACCCACCATCTCGGGCTTCTCATGAGAATAAGAGGCACTTTCACAGACCTAAAAACAGGTCCCCCTCTAAACCTGCTTCCAGGAGAAGGGATGCTTCTCTGACTCCTTCCAGGTCAGGTGAGTCTTTGCATGCAGGTCCCAAAGATTTAGGTCTGCCTAAGCCTCCCAAATGTGAAGAGAGAGTGCACAGAAGCAAAGCTCCAGTGGTAGCAGCTCCAGTGCAGACGATGACCTCTAGCAAGCCGAAGGACCGATATCTGCCAGGACCTACCAAGAGCTCTAGACAAGACTCTCGCTCTTTGCAATAGTACCGACTTGGCCCCATAAGGACCCGCCAACCACTAAGTCTGGTACAGCAGAACCGTCAACTGGGACCCCTTGTATTCTGGGATCAATGGAGACATAAACTAATCTGGAAGTTCTTTGCCCTCCTCTTTTAGTCCCTGTCCTTCTGAGGGTCACTTTGACCCCAGAAAAGGATACCACCCTAATAAGGATTTACTCCCCTAGACAGTCCCTAGGCTGGAGCTTCCTCCCACTGACAACAACAGTATCCCTGATGGAGCTGGATCCAGCTTTCTTATTGGCTGAATCCAATGTCCAGAGTGGACCATCGCCTCCACAGCCCAGGGAGGTTAGACCAGTCAGGTTTGAGAGTTTCTAGGGCTCAATCTCCACTCAAGCATGGTTACCCTCCCAGAAATCACTGGTACCCAATGCCTTGCGGCCCCCACCCAACTAGTTTTTCATCCTTCATACTGGTTCTGTTGGGTCCATGGGATTCTTATGCATGACACACCAGATCAGTGCACTCTACCAGAGTCATATCATCCCCCTCTTCCTTCTAGACAGCAGCACAGGAGTCCACAGGAGTACCTGGAGGAGGAAGTCAACAAGCCACATTTGCTGGCACCAGCAGTACCAACTTGTATATTGTGTTCCTCACCCGATGATGCAATTGCCCCATCTTCACCATCCCCACCAGATGAGCATAGGCAATGTCAAGAACTATTGCAGAACTTCATATTCCATTAGAAGTAGTACAAGATACACAGCACGTGTCTCGAAGATCCTGCAGCCCAACAGATCCAATAGGGTAGCTTTTCTGGTGAATGAGGCCATTAAGGAACTAGCTAGAGTGGTAAGGCATACACCAGTAACATGTACCTCTACTTCTAAAAGGCCTGAGAAAAATTACTTTTTGCCTGTGAAAGCAGAATTCTTGTTTACTCACCTTGCCCCCTATTCCCTAGTAGTACAAGCAGCAGCACCATAAGATCACCCCTGCAGGCAAGGGAGCTGAACACCTGGACCTTCAGGGAAGGAAGGTATTTACATCCACCAGCCTCCAGTTCAGAATCTCTGACTAACAGGCCCTGTTAGCGAACTGTGATTTTTATGAATTGCTCTAAGTTCCTGGAGTTCACAGACGATACTTTTCCAGGTGGACAAGGCCAATTCCAAGCCCTTGTTGAGGAAGGTAGACTTGTGACTAAAACCTCACTGCAAGATACAGTGGACCTGGTGGATACCATATCAAGATCTACATTGACCACAAAAGTAATGCAGCGAGTGTCATGGCTTCATTCCGTGGCATTCTCCAGGGAGGTTCAGAATACCATCAAGGACTTTCCCTTCAATTAAACCAACCTCTTTAACAATAAAACAAATGAGTCTTTATACTTAAGACACCACAACAACCCTCCGCTCCCTGGGAATTTATACCCTAGCTATGAAGAGAAAACATCATAAACAGGTATAAGCCAAGGCCTCTTCCACAGCCTTTCTACCAGGAACGATTTATACAAACTGCCACATAATCATCAAGGAGTGCAGAGGCCAAGGTATTCAGCCCCATCCACCTCTATGGCAGCCATCCAACCTCATCCACTGACTAAAGGTTACTTTTGATGGGACGCTTGAGTTGCAACCTAACAGTGATGCCATCCCTGCGTGTTTCTGACGTCGAGTTTGCTGAGCTCTAGCCTATTTTCCTACAATTGGAGGGCTATAACAATGGGCAAGTGAGTAACACGTGTGCATTGGCATACCTTTCCTACCACTGACGCCCAACATGACAATCTCTCTCTCTCTCTCTCTCTCCCACTGTGTGTAGAGTTGGTCAATTTATGGAATTAGTGTATCTGGAACCACATCACAGTTTCTGCAATGTACTTCCCAAGTACTCAGAACTCGCTGGTGGAAGGCCTCAGCAGGCGTTTGGTCATTGATCACGAGTGAGAGTTACGCAATTCAGTGATGAACATCATGAATTCAGTTCATGAACATGAGCATCATGAACATCGCATCGCTTAGTGGGGGACACCATCTTGGGACCCGTTAATCTCCCAGATGAACAACGTAAGTTGAACTTCTTGTTCCAGAGCAGTACAGGGTCAGGACTCTGTGGCAGTGGACATTCCTGTCATGACTTACCTCTCATCCCGCTACTACCTAAGGTTCTGTGAAAGATTCATCATGACAAAGCACAAGTCATCCTCATCGCACCCAACTGGCCCAGACAGTTATGGTTTCTGGACTGCCTATGAATGTCAACCCATCAGTATTTAGTCCTTTCTGGACCTGCTGACTCAGGAGAAAGTAAGTATCAGAGATCCCATCCTGGACTCTCTTGATCTCATAGCTTGATATTTGGATGGGTGTCAGACCTAGAGCATTCATCTTCGCAGGCCATTCAACCTATTCATAATTACAGCAGGAAATGTTACCTAACCAAATAGAGGTAGGTAGGTAGGGGTGTGTGTGTGTGTGTGTGTGTGTGTCTCTCTCTCTCTCTCTCTCTCTCTCTCTCTCTGGGTGCAACAGAACCAATTATAATCGGGGCCAGCAGGTCTTGCTTCTATTTTAGACTGTCGTCACTGTCAAGACAGATCTTTCCATTAGCTTGCTGTGAATCCAACTAGAAGTAATCAGTACATTCCATCTGCCAGTAGATGACTATTCTATTTTTACTCACCCGGTAACAACCAAATTCCTAGATTCTGACTAGGATTTCCACACCAATAGTGAAGCCAGCGCCACAGTGGGATCTTACACTCATACCTTCAACACTTAACAGGCCATCTTTCAAACCGTCGGCCATGTTCTCGAGGTCCCATCTTCTATGAAGGTTGCCTTCCGGAGGACCATTACGTTGGCCAGGAGAGAAGGTGAGCTGGAGGCCCTCATGGTCTACCTGCCATACACATACATTTCATAAAGAGAAGCTATCCCTTTGCCTCCACCCAAATTCATCCTGTAGGTAACTTCCAAGGTCTACATAAACCAGTTGATTTGCTTTACTGATATTCTTTGCCTCACGCCTCCAGCGAGTAGAGGAGACTTTGTTCTCTCGACATCAGATGAGCATTGGCATTCTACCTGCAAAGAGTGAAATCATTTAGAAAATCACCTAGATTATTTGTTGCTATAGCAGAGCGAGCATGGGGACAAGCGATATCTGCTCAGAGACTCTTTAAGTGAATATCTGGTTGTATCCTCCTTTGCTATCAGTTGGTGCATCTCCCTCCTCCAGATGGGTTGAAGGCCCTTTTCACTAGAGCACAGGCAACCTCAGTAGAATTTCTTTGAGAAGTCCCTCTGCTAGACATTTGTAAGGGAGCAACCTGGAATTCCATCTGCACTTTCAAGAAGTATTATGTGTTGCTACAAGCAGAATTGCAATGTTACAGATATCTGTACTCCTGCATCCTCTCACCTCCCTTCCTGTTTATCTGCTGCTTGCCATCACCCACCTGTTACCGCCTGAGGGGCTCGAGGCGGACTTCAAATGGTCCGTTGGCCCGGTGTGCTTAGCACCAATAAAGACACCGAGGGGAGAAAGCAAGCCAAGTTTATTTCAGAGCTCTGAAATGACACTAGGAGACCAGCATGTCTCAAATCCAGTGCAACAAATACAAATAACTTTTACCTTTTTATACCCCAAGCTGTTTCTGTGTAAGTCTTTGTCTGTTAACTCCCTTTTACTACTCCCACCCCTCCCTTCTCTAGCCGTTACAATTAGAAAAGTTCCCATACGCCTGCTTATCTTTCGGCCTTGCAAGGCCTGTTTACAGCAGCTGCCTGCTAGAAAAGCTGACCCTTACATTTCTACTTCAGCCTATAAGCAGTTAGCCTAAAAGTAGGTGAGAGTTCACAAGATGGAGTCTGGGGGTTCAAATAGGCCCAGAGCAAAAGAGCTTCATCGACACTTTGGCCTTCCACTCTCCCGAGTTACCTGGTAGCTATGCCCAGTGGCCCCCAACACACCTGTGAAATACTCATAGGGACCAGCATTCTCACCTGTCACTGGAGGTTCTTTGAGATGTGCGGTCCAGATCCATATCCCACTTCTTGCCTTCCTTCCTCTCTGCTTTGGACACGACTGGATTTGTAGTAGAGAAGGAACTGGAGAGGTAGTTGCTCTGCACCTCCCCTTGTACCATTGGTATCAAGCACAGGGTGCAGGCACAGACCAACAGACATTATTTTCAAGATTTTCTGGTCTGAGATCATGTGCTCGCATACCCATGTGTGGAATACAGATAGACTGCACACCTTGAAAAATCTCCAGTTACAGGTGAGTAGCCTCCTTTTTTTTTAATTCTTGGCTGATAGTAAAGGATCACTATGGTGCTGCCAGTATTTGTGGGATTTCATTGTTAAGGAAGTACCTGTTGTTTCATGAAGATGTCTATTCACTTTTTTGGTTTGCCTGCTTAATTGTTGTATATTTACATGAATTGGAAGCATGCCAAGAGATTCAGGTACTGCCTGAAGTGCACTGCGAAGGTGTGCTTTATCAATAATTTGTTAGCACTGATTATTGTCTGACACTGACTGTGTTTTGAGAGTTTTTACAGTCCTCTATCATTTAGCACCTTTTATTTTCCTTTGTATAGCAATCTCAATTACAATCTTAATAATATTGTGAATATTGCAGCAACATTACTTAGGCAAAAGGTAGCGTTGTAAAGATTTGCGTGGCAACCACCCAAACAAATGCCAGGTTGTTTGCAAGGTGCATTCAAATGATCCTTCTGAGATAAATGATGACCCTGATAATACACAAAAATACTATGGATTTCCCTGAAGAAAATGTATTGGTAGGGTACTGGTAATCTGCTAACAGAAATAACGGCAGCATGATTGAACCATTTAGTGCTGACTAGACTGGTGTAAAAATATTCACAGTCAAAAGTAAACTAGTAAGTTATTGGATTTTTGCCATCTGTATTTGAGTGCAAACATTTCAAGTATCTTGCCTGATATGTTCATGCTCTTTAGTAACAAGGAGTAGTTCTCATAGTCAAACTATTTTCCCTAACCATAATTAACCCTTTCTGTGTGATCCAGACACTATACAGAACATGAGATGTCCATGGGAGTTACGAACTTGTCTTCCAACACGGAGCATACACAATCACTTCCTAAAACTGAAAATAACCCTTTTTATTAAAGGAACAGTGACTTGAATAATGAGTTTCAGACCACTACACTCTGAATCAGCATTACAAGAGGCAGTGCAAGTCTCCAGAAGAGCCAATTCATTATGGAGGGTACAAATAATTAAAAGGCTCATGTTGTCTGAAATGCATTAGTTAATGTTGTTGTTTGTCCACTCCATACTCTCTCAGTTTTGGGAAGAATTGAATTAATGCTCTGCTCATGGTCAAAGGATCTTCATTGTGGCCACAGCAAAGACCATAGGCAGAATACCGTATCTTAAAATCCGTATTTTGTGCTAGGTTGACCATTGATTTATTCATGGAAGAATGGTACTTAAATATCTTCCGTTTTTAAAATGTGTTTGCTTTTGTCTTCACTCTACAGGCAAGAATTTGTAGATGCCTATGTGGATTACATCTTCGGTAAATCAGTGGCTTCCTTATTTGATGCATTCCACACAGGCTTTCATAAGGTGTGTGGTGGTAAAGTTCTTCAGCTCTTCCAGCCCAGTGAGCTGCAGGCGATGGTGATTGGGAACACAAATTATGATTGGAAAGAACTGGAGAAGGTAAGTGCTAGGTTAGTTAGAGTATATTAACCTGGTATACATTTAAAATGCAAAAGCAAAACACTTGATGGTATTGCCTCTCCAGCACTTCCTGCCCCCACATTCCTATGTTGAAGTTAAGCTTTCCAGTTTCCCTAAAGATGAGGTAGCATAATTTTGCTAACAGTAAATGGAATCTATTCAATTTCCACAGATTCATCCTCACCCTTAACGTTTCATATCTGATGTCTCTAAAGTCTCTTGGACAAACCTTGCAGAGAACTGAGAGAGAACCATATACATTAAATTTTTAAGGAGAAAAAGTTAACAAAAAAAATGTTTAACACATGAACTTTTGTGTTCAAAGAATTTAGGTTTAAGGGTCTTTGGTGGTTTCAGACATCTCTTGTCTGAATGATAGTTTCATCTACTCAAAAAACCATCACAGAGCTCCATTTACTGGCAGGTGACCCAGATGTGAGTTTTTGTTGTTGTTGTGTGTGGTTTTTTTTTTTTTTTTTTCAAATAGTGCCTAGATAAATATTATCTAGACACACAAACCAGTAGGAATTTTCCTTATCATAATATGCAATGCATTAGTCAACAAGTGGCCAAATAAATTTTAGTGCATGGGTGTGATGACAAGGTTGTGTAGTCAAAACAAGTTTTATATTCTGAATTACTTTTACTTTTGTGTGGTGCCTTATGAAGTCATGCAAGCAGAAAGGAAATGAAAATATTTTAAAATGTTTATCCAGGTGTTTTATAAACTGAAAAAAAGCCCATTTCCTTTTTTGGACTATACATCCTTAAAATATCTTCTTGACATTATACAAGTTCTTCGAGTGATTGCTCATGTGTATTCCACAATAGGTGTGCATGCTCGCCATGTGCACTGGTGCCGGAAGTTTTTCCCCTAGCAGTACCCGTGGGGGGGGAGCGACCCCTGGGGTGGCGCCTGCCTGGCGCGGTATAAGGGGAGCTGCGCGCTCTCCTGACCCTCAGTTCCTTCTTGCTGCCAGTGAAGTTGCGTCGGAACTGCTCAGCTCCAGCTTTGCTGCAGCTTGTCCCCAGAACTGTTCGTTCATTCAGTTGGTTTAGTTAGTTAGTGAGCCTGGGCCAGGGCATGCCCTGTGCCTCGAGATTTAAGTCGTGCAGCTCTTGTAGGCGTTCTATGCCAAGGAGTGACCTGCACGTGGACTGTCTGCGCTGCTTGGGAGAAACCCATATCAGCGAAAAGTGCAAGATCTGCAAGTCGTTCAAGCCCCGGACCAAAAAAGAAAGGGACAATAGGCTACGGGCCATCTTGATGGAGTCGGCGCTGGCCCCGACTCCGGCACGCCGTTCCGAACCGGTACCTGGCACTGCGGCGTCGGTACACAGCGACGCTCTGGTACCATCGACCAGTCGGCACTGCTCCTCTTCCACGAGGCACACCAAGAGGACTGGAAAGACTCCTTCTTCGCAACAGCACCGAGGGAAGTCTGGGACAGAGGCTAGGCCCATGTTGGGTAGCCCTCAATCCCCACTGGGCCCTAGGCCTCAGACTTGAGTTGAGCGGAGTAGCCCAGCCCCTTTGGAGCAGGCCTCTCCGGCTGTCCGGATGCCATCTACTCTCAAAGCCCTCCAGGTGGCCAGGGACGTCATGTCCATGCCGGTGCCCGGAGCTCCGCCGATGTCAGCCCCACGCTCCAGGGGCAAGCCGCTGCTAGGGTCGCCACCGGCCTGGTACCGGTCTTGGTCGAGGGAACGTTCCCGACACCACTCACCCGCCCAACGACCGTTCAGGGCTCAGTCCATGTGGATGGCCCTCGAAGCCGGCAGACTGTCTGGATGGGTGCCGTCTGACTGGGACTCCCGGCTCCGCTCATCTTCGCAGAGCGAATATCGACGGGACCGTGGCGGACGTCACCAACGGTCCTCGTCTCAAAGGAGGTACCGGAGTCAGTCGTGGCACGACCATCTAAGCCGTTTCTGCTCGGATTCCTGCTCCAAGGCACCGTAGCCCCGGGTGTCGATCCCCGGCATCTCGCCTTCGCGGGTCCGCCCGTCAAGGCCGTTTGAGGAGCAGCTACTACCCGCAGGAGGACTACCGGGCCCACCAAGACCTCTTAAGAAGGGTGGCAGCGAGCCTCCACTTCAGGCAGAGGAGATGAAGGAGCCCTTAGACTCCCTCTTCAATGTGCTGTCCCCCTCGGCACCAGGCAGGGTGGCAAGAATTTCAAATGCTTTGTGGCAAACACCAGCCTCGTTGGCTCCCATCTCTAAGAAGGTGGAATGCAAGTACTTTGTACCCACTAAGAGGCACGAGTATTTGTATACCCACCCGGCGCCCAACTCCTTGGTGGTCAAGTCAGTCAACCACAGGGAACGGCAGGGGCAGCCAGCCCCGACCCCTAAGAAGAAAGACTCTTGGGGGCTGGATACTTTCGAGGGAGAAGTTTGTTCGTCGTCAAGCTTCCAGCTAAGAGTAGCAAACCATCAGGCTCTCCTGGGTTGCTACGAGTTTAATCTCTGGGGATCCCTCCCCAAGTTTGAGGACTCCCTCCGGGAGCATGATAAAAAGGGCATCCCTGCAGGCCACTTCGGATGCAGCGGACACGGCCGCACGGTCCATGGCCTCGGTGGTGTCCATGAGACGGGCGTCATGGCTCCTGCTCTCTGGGCTATCCAGCGAAGCGCAGTCGGCAATGCAGGATCTCCTTTTCGACGGGAAGGCTCTGTTTGCTGAGGAAATGGACACAAGGCTGCACGGCATGAAAGACGCTCGCACGACCCTCCAGACCTTGGGCCTCTATGTCCGTGCTCCGGCAAAACCCAAGTGCAAGCTGCAGCAGGTTCCTGCCCTTCCAAAGTACGAGGCCTCCCCTAAGAAGCAGTGGGACTATAGAAAACTCCCGCAGAGGCAGTCTTGGCCTGCCCCCCAGCCTGGGTCCTCTAAGGGCAAGCAGGCGGGTAAAAGGTGTTTTTGACTGGACGCTCAGGGGTACCCCGCCAGTTCTCAGCAGGGATCCACCCCCAATAAAGCTCCCTTTTTCCAGTCGGTTGTGTGCTTTCCTCCCAGAATGGTCGCGGCTCACCTTGGACCGATGGGTCCTCAACACCATCTCCTGAGGTTACACCCTTCAGTTTACCTCCTCCCTGCCCAACCAACCCTTCCCCCCCCGCCCCTGCCCCTTTTGGGGGACCCATTGCACGAGGCTCTGCTCGAGCAGGAGGTCGGGCGGCTCCTGGAATTAGGAGCGATAGAGGCGGTGCCCAAGGAGTTCCTGGGCAAGGGGTATTACTCCTGGTATTTCCTTATCCTGAAGGCCAAATGGGGGCTCAGGCCTATCATGGACCTGCAAGGCCTGAACCAGTACATGGTGAAACTCAAGTTCCGCATGGTTTCCCTGGCCTCCATCATCCCCTCCCTGGATCCCGGGGACTGGTACACTGCCCTCAATCTACAGGATGCGTACTTCCACATCCACATATTCGAAGGGCACAGGCGCTTCCTCCGTTTCGTGGTGGGACAGAATCACTACCAATTCACGGTCCTCCCATTTGGTCTGTCCACTGCCCCCAGGGTCTTTACAAAGTGCATGTTGGTAATAGTGGCCTACCTCAGGCGCCGGGGGGGGCAGATATTCCCCTATCTGGACGACTGGCTGGTCAAGGGCAACTCCCGATCGCAGGTGAGGGATCATGTGGCACTCCTCCTGTCCACATGCACTGCCCTGGGCCTGTTGGTAAACAACACCAAGTCCATGTTAGTCCTGGTCTAACGCATAGAGTTTATCGGGGTGCTCCTGGACGCAACGTCGGCCAGGGCCTCTCTCCCCCCCAGACAGGTTCGAGACCCTGAAAGGGCTCATCGACTCAATTGCAAGGTTCCCAGTGACGACAGCCAGGGCTTGCCTGCAGCTGCTAGGTCACATGTCGGCGTTCACGTATGTGGTCCGCCACGCCAGACTCAGGATGAGGCCCCTCCAGCTCTGGCTGGCCTCGAAGTTCTCCCAGGCCACGGACAGAATAGACAAGGTCCTCACCGTGCCGAACTTGGTGATCACCTCCCTGCGGTGGTGGTCCGCCCCAAGCAACATGCTCCAAGGGATCCCGTTCAGGGACAGGGCCCTGTCGTTGGAGCTGGTGTCTGATGCACCGGACCTGGGCTGGGGGGTCCATGTGGGGAATTTTCAGACCCAAGGCCTGTGGTTTTTGCAAGACCTGACCCTTCATATAAATGTCAAGGAACTCAGAGCGGTGTGACCGGCATGTATGGCCTTCCGCTCACACCTGAAGGGCAAGGTAGTCAGGATCCTCACGGACAACACGGCCTCAATGTTCTATATCAACCGGCAAGGCGGGGCCCGATCCTCTGCCACGAAGCTCTCAGTCTGTGGGACTTCTGTATAGCCCACGACATCCACCTAAAAGCCTTTCACCTGCCAGGCGCCCAGAACGTGAGGGCGGATCACTTGAGCAGAGACTTTTCCTCTCAGCACGAGTGGTCTCTACACCCGGAAGTGGCCCACTAGCTCTTCTGAAGGTGGGGAACTCCCCAGGTGGACCTATTTGCGACCCGGCAGAACCGACAATGCCCCTGGTTCTGCTCTGGGGGGGCCTAGGGAAGGGCGCTATCTCTGATGCCTTTATCCTATCCTGGTCAGGCCAGCTTCTCTACGCCTTTTCCCTCTGATGAGCAGGGTCCTGGAGAAAATAAAGACAGACAAAGCCAGGGTCGTCCTCATTGCCCCAGCGTGGCCCAGGCAGCACTGGTACGGGACCCTGTCGGGTCTGGCGGTGACTCCGCCGTGGCCGTTGCCGCTCCTCCCGGACCTGCTCTCTCAGGACCAGGGCCGCCGCCTCCACCCCAACCTGGCAGCTCTTCACCTCACAGCATGGCTGCTCAGTAGCTAGGTGGTGAGGAAAGGACATGCTCAGAACAAGTTCAGCGCATCCTCCTCGAAAGTAGACGGCCCTCCACTTGCCGCTCCTACATGGCAAAGTGGTCTCGGTTTTCTAGGTGGGCGGCAGACCAAGGTGTGTCCCCGACGGCTGCCCCAATCCAGCTTATCCTTGATAACCTCCTCCACCTGAGGGCCCGGGGCCTGGTGCCCTCATCAGTCAAGGTGCACCTGGTGGCCATATCGGCTTTCCATCCCCCGGTGCAAGGACACGCTGTGTTCTCCCGTGCTATGATTGGCCGGTTCCTTAAGGGTCTGGACTGGCTTTATCCATACTCTAAGCCTCTGGTCCCACAATGGGATCTGAATCTGGTGCTGCCTCGTCTTACAGGGGCCCCATTTGAACTGTTAGCCACGTGTTCCTGGTCTCACCTCTCGTGGAAGGTGGCCTTCCTGGTTGCTATCACATCGGCCAGGCACGTCTCGGAGCTCAGGGCCCTGACCTCTGAGCCGCCGTATACGGTCTTTCATAAGGACAAGCTCCAGCTCCGCCCATACCCCGAGTTCCTCCCGAAGGTGATCTCCACCTACCACATGAGTCAGGACATTTTTCTTCCAGTCCTCTGCCCCAAGTCTCATGCGACTAGTGAGGAGCGCCGTCTCCACACGCTTGATGTGAGGCGGGCTCAGGCTTTCTACCTCAAGTGGACCAAGCCGTTCAGAAAGTCCTCGCAACTGTTCGTCGCCTCAGCTGAGCGCTCGAGAGGCCAGCAGATTTCCACTCAGCGGCTTTCCAACTGGATCACTTCGTGCATCCATTCCTGTTATGAGCTGGCGGGTGTCCCCCCGCCGCCCATTGTGAGGGTGCACTCGACTCGAGCACAGGCTTCGTCGGCTGCCTTCGTGGCCCACGTCCCTATACAGGTCATTTGTATGGCCGCCACGTGGTCTTCGGTTCACACGTTCACCTCGCACTATGCGATAGTCTCCCAAACCAGGGATGACGCTGGGTTCGGCAAGGCGGTACTCCGTCTTGAGAACTTGTGAACTTCTACCCACCTCCAGCAGGTATAGGTTGGAATCACCCATTGTGGAATACACATGAGCAATCACTCAAAGAAGAAAAGACGATTACCCTTTCATAACTGGTGTTCTTCGAGATGTGTTGCTCATGTCTATTCCGCATCCCGCCCTCCGTCCCCTCTGCCGGAGTTGTCTGGCAAGAAGGAGGGCGCAGCTCCCCTTATACCGTGCCAGCCAGGCGCCACTCCGGGGGTTGCGGGGGGCACTCCCTCCCTACGGGTACTGCTAGGGGAAAAACGTCCGGCACCGGTGCACATGGCGAGCACGCACACCTATTGTGGAATAGACATGAGCAACACATCTCGAAGAACACCAGTTACGAAAAGGTAACGGTCTTTTCCATTTGTGGTGTTTGGTATCACAAGAACCCTGCTGTGTGGAATTTCCTCCCTATCCCAGTGCCATTCATTTTCTTTCAAATCTCTCCCTATACATCCACAAATACTAATCCATGCCATTAATAAATGGGGGCAGTAGTTTTATAGTATTAAAAACAATAGCTCTAATGTAGAACTTTCCACTAGGTCTCTTGGTTCATTTTGTGTCTTTTGGATAAAAAGCTTGGTGATGAAGAGATGCCTATCCCTGTACTCTGTGTTCCATAGCTGAGAACAGTAGATGTTAACAAGTGGTAATACACATATATTTCGTAGACTTCTCATGTGATGCTACAAATCCTGCTTATATTGGATAAAGTAACAGAAAAAGACACCCAGTTCTAGTGTTCAGAGTAGTAGATGTACACTTTACTGGGAAGGCTTTAGGATTTTTGTTAGAAGCTAGGATTTTATATTAAATGCACACAAGAAATTTCCTAACTTTCAGGAAGATCCCAAAATCCTTTGAGTCACTGTACATCCACCACTGAAATGTGGTGGTAGTTAAACAATGTTACTGTGTACAGTCAAGTAGTTCAGAACAAGAAGTTCCGGTAAATAATAATGTATTCAATTGAAAGTGCAAGAGGTATTTATATAGGCAGAGTGCAAATACCCTGATTAGAATTATTTTAGTAGTAGGATGTTAACTGGTATCCAATGTGGGAGAAAACATATCTTTAGAGATAAAAACATAAAAAAGTAAACTTGGTGAAAAAAATAAAAATGCGTATAGAACAATTACATTTGTAGTTTTGTATAACTCAGTATCAATGTGTTGTCTCTTTCTACATACAGTATTTACATATTCAGTGTCCTGATATTTTGTGAATTTGACTAATAATCACATATTTTGGTCACTTCAGAATACAGAATATAAAGGAGAATATTGGGCAGACCATCCTACAATTAAAATATTTTGGGATGTTTTTCACGAGTTACCACTGGAAAAGAAAAAGCAGTTTCTGTGTAAGTATTTGAAACTAGTGTATGGAAATAGGAAACCTAGTAGGATTACTGTAGCTTGATGCTTTTCTAGAAGGGGACAAAACAAATTACACCTAATGTTAATAACTAATAATTATGTCTACCTATTTTTTAAGGTGAACGCATCATGGGGGAGGAAGTCTGTCTGAGCAGGGAGTCTTTGTCAATAACTTTGTGTGTGAGTCTTGTAAAGTCACAAAAGGTTTGAGTTGTGAGGCTCTGGGTTGGTATTTGGAGGGCTATCGTCATGTTTGGTTAGTTGTTGCGTAATCAGCAACGGCAACCAATCTATTGTGCTTCATTAGTTAGTGAGTGGATGGTCAGCAATGATAATCATGTAGCTTGTTCTGGATTTCCTTATTTGAATGGCCCTTTGATCACTTCATAGTGGCCAACAGGGTAGAACAGCACTGCCATGCACTTTGATATTTATTTATTTATTTTAATATGTAGGCCATGGCATTTACCACTGCATTCACCAAGTCTTGATAAGTGGATTTATTTTGGGTAGTGGATAGCCTGGTTAATTCAGACTGTTCTTATTTGGTTTGCTGATGCAAGTCCCTCCCCAGTGAAGAAATTTCAGGTTATTTTACAGAAAAAAATCAAGCACATTCAGATAGAACTGTTTACACCCTTCTGTCTCCTCATGCAGTATTACTACAGCTGTGACCAATTGAAGTGCTCACTCTGGAGCACCTTTGGTTTTGTAACGGCGCTGTCATCAGGACGCTTTTCAAGAAAGCCCTTGTTGATTTCCCCATTCACTCAATGATCTGTAATAGTCCAAATTTGTTGCCCTTCATAATGCGTTGCAGTGCTCAACTTTTTAAACAGGTGCTTGGGGAAATCTGAAGTGTTTGGATTATTATTCATGGCAGTGAGTAAACTTAAAATAACCGCAAAAGACTGAAATCACCATTCTCATCTGTCCAATAAATCTAGGAATTTTGTCCATCCCGGAATAGGCTCCTTTTCATTACCTACAAGACTTACTTTTTTTCTTAGGTGGAAATATCATTTGATATCACTGTTTGTAAACGCTAAAAGATTGTAGCTATAGGAGAATAATGGAAAACTTACCCAATAATTTCCTTTCTGCTTGTAGCATCTACCACAGTTTTGCTACGTGTTCCCTATTTCCTTCCAGTGTGCAGTTCTGGAGGTGGTTCAACACTGCAGCACAGCCTGTTCTGGCCCTTTCTCTGGCTTCTGCCAGATGATTCTTTCTAAAGCTGTGCAAAAACTTGTGGAAAATAGTAACAATAATTCCAATGCCAACCAAGTAACTATACACAGAAGACCTTGCTTATAAGATAACTTGTACAAATAAAATGTTGACCATCGGCTGATGAGCAATCCAGGATGGGTAGAATTGTGGAGGAGACATAGCTAGCAGAAAGAAAATTATTGGGTAAGAAATTTTCCATTCTGCAGCCCAGCATCTTCCACAGTTCTGCTATGCGTGGGAAAGGGTGAGCCAGTGAACAGGGGTAGGGGAGGGTAAGGGAACAAACAAAAGGAAAATGGGGGGGGGAGCCCCTCCCTTTTTACAGCATTGCTCAAGCAGCAAGGTTATTATTGGACCACTGCCTCCAGCACCTTCCTGCCAAAGGTGGCCTCTGCAGAAGGTTAAGTCCACTCTACAACATCTGGTAAAGATGTTAGCCAGTGACCATGTTGGCTGCTTTGGAGATCTGTGGTGGAAGCACGTGCTCTTTCGGCCCACAAGGTTGCGATTGGTCTTGTGGAGTGCACCTTGATTCTTTCTGGGACAGGAACGTTGGTTGCCTTGTATGTCTCATAGATACGTAGCCTGATCCATCTAGCAAGGAGAGCTTAGAGACTGAATCCTTGAGACTCTGGATGGAAGGAGTTAAGCAGAACGCCTGACTTCCTTGTGGGTTCTGTGTGCTTGATTTAAATCTTCAATGCTTTTCTGACATCTAAAGTGTGCCATAGCTTCTCAGTTAGGTACTGTGGCTTCAGACATAATGGGAGGGACATTTCCCTGTGAGGAATGGAAAAGAGAGTTTACCTTTGGCAAGAACATTTCTGAAATCTTTAGCACCACCTTATCATGAAAAGTGCAGTAAGTTTCCTACATAGATAGGTGCCCATTCTGAAATCTGTCTGGCAGTTGTGATAGCCACCAGAAAATAGGTTTTGAGGCAGAGGTAAAATGGCTATGTAGAAATCAGGTCCAAAAGAATGAGTGGTTAGGGCTGTCAACACCTGGAGTAGATCCTGTTTAGGAAAGTTGTCTGAGTGCTGGTTTGGCCAATATGATTGCTCTGAGGAACCTGGATATCTGAGGGTTCTTGACCAGGGAGCCTGAATAGCCTGCGAACAGTACAATACTGAGGCCTACACCTGGCACATAAAGGAACTTCAGCCAAGCATCATTATCATTCGTTCTTGAAGGAAGTCTAGAATAACTTGAATCCTGGGATGCTGTGAGTTTGCTTTATGCTCTTGACACGAAAGGCTGAATTTATTGCAGATGGATGGGTAGGCTTTTAGAGTGGAAGTTCTCCTAGAAGAGTGCGAAGTCCCTATCACTTTTTAAGATAGGCTGAGTATGGCTAGTACTTCCCTTTTCAATTGCTAGGCTGTTAGATGAAGATGGTCTGGTCTGGATGGAAGAATGGTCCTTGGTAAAGAATGGTAGTTGCAATGGTGGTTCCAGCTGTAGTTCTGTTAGGTCAGAGAATCAGGGTATCCCTGGCCAGTGTGGGAGTTAACACTTGTCACCTTTGCATCCTCTGACCTTATGTTTGGGTCACTTTCCTTGTGAGAGGAAAGGGCGAGAAAACATATAGCAGGTCTTGTGGCCATCCGTGTGACAGAGCATCTGTCCTCATAGACTTAGGGTCTGCTTCCCTGGTAAAGTATTTTGGCCGCTTTGCATTCTTGTGATTGGCAAACAGGTCAACTGATGAAACCGAATGTCCTGTGAAATCAAAGGTTGAAGACTTCCTGGTTTTAGGCACAATTTTGAGTTGCTGACATTGCGCTGGCTGAGCCAGTCTGCCTTTTGGTTTAGTTCCCCTTGTATGTGGATTGTCTTTAGGGAAAGGAGAGTCATTTCTGCCCATTCCATTATCTCCATCACTTCTGCATGTAGAGCTGCAGTCCTTGTCCCTCCTTGGTTGTTTTATGTATGCAGCTGTTGTCAGAGTGGACCAGGACACTATTTCCATCCAGGTGGCTCTCAAATCTCAGAAGAGCTAGTTTGCCCTGAGTTCCAAGAGATAGATGCATCTGAAACCCCAGGCAAAGGAACTACAGCCTTGTACCCTTCTAGGTCACAGATGTGCTCCCCATCCCTTCATGCTGGCATCAATGGTGAGAACCTAAGGTCTTGAAAGCATATGGAAAGAACCCTGAGGATGTTTCCCCAGACTTTCCACCATATCAGGGAGTTGAGGGCCTGTTTTGGACATGTAAGTGAAGTTGCATGAGTTTGGGGGAGTAGTCTCATGCTTTCAGAAGAAAAGCCTGAAGGCACCTGATGTGTGACTTTTGCCAATGAGTGACCCCTATGCGTGAGACCAGGAGGCCCAGTAGCTGAGGGCAGGGAACGATAGGTGAGCTCTTTCACTTGGCCAGTGTGGATATCGGATTCAAGGAACTTTACTTCATGTTTATTATGAATCCGTGCGCTTGCAGGAGATCCAGAGTCTGAATTGTGGTGCTGTGTGCTACCGCCTGAGATAGGGCTCTGATTAAGGAGCCATCAAAAAGGGGGTACAGGTGAATACCCTGGGACCTGAGTCTGGCTATGGTCACCACCAGCATCATCATAAATACCCTGGGGGCTGATAAGACACCGATTGGAAGTGTTGGGTACTAATAGTGATTCGTGATATAAGCAGCAAATTTCAGAAGCCTGCAGGGGCACACTGGAGTTTGAAGGTATGCATCTGCCAAATTGAATGAGGTTAGTAAGTGCCCTGACACAGGGATGTCGCTATCAAAGTTAATTTCCATCTGGAACTTTATTTTCCTCATTTGTTTGTTGAGCCTTTTGAAGTTGAGGATGGCCCTGACTCCTCTAGTGTGCTTCTGAGCAATGAAGTAGATGGAGTAAAACCCTGAGCAATGCTCTCCTGCGGGAACTCCTCCTATTGCTGCATGGCCAGAAGTTGGGAGATCTTGTTCTGGACCAGCTTGCACTTTTGCAGGGTCGCGGGAGATTGGATGAAGAAGGGATGGTGGTGGAGCCCTTTGCTCAAGAGAGTATTCCTGGAACACACTCACCTTTCTGTGGTTGAAACAAACCATTCATCTGGAAAATGGGAAATCCTGCTGCTTAGGTCTGGGTGGAGGCACGTTTGCTTATTGTCGTAAAGGGCTTTTGAAGGTTGCAGGAGCTCCTCCTCTAGATTTTCCTCTTGCTCCTTGGTTCCAAGGTTTTCCCTTGAGGTATCTGTATCTGGTTTTCTCTGAGACCTCTGTGAGGAAGATGGTTTGTAGTCCCATAGAGTATTAAGTTGAGTGGGGAAGGACTGTTTGGTTTTAGTCACTTTTTCAGTCACTGTCTTGTCCAGTTTTTCTCTGAAGAAGAGAGATATTGTGAATTTAGAAGAGCACGGGACATGTTTGAAGTGTCTACTTTCAAGAGACAAAGTCATGTGTGTCTCCTGGCTGGGAAGCTAGATGCCACGGTCCTGGCAGAAAATCTCGTAGCATCCATTAAAGCATCTGCCATTAATGCTGTTGCTTAAGAGATCTTCTTAAGTATAGACTTAGTAAGTTTGGTTTCTGTCCTTAAGGGCTTTCAGGTCCTCCAGCCCCATGACATTGTTACTTAAGGTAACCAATTGGCTGCCAGAAATGCTCTGAAAGTTGGTGAGGAAGCATCAAAGTCCCTTCTGTGGGTAGCTTTCACCTTATCCATTGGCTTCTTGGGAAAGAAATTTCCTTTGGATGGAATAATCATATAAGCTAGAGATGCTACTGCAGCAGTGACCTTAAGAACATCAGTTATGACATTTTAGCTCCTGGAGCTTGTAGAATCTGAGTGTGTGCCTGTTAATGTGCTTGTCCTTTTCAGAGTTTCCCACTTCTCCCTGATTACCCTCTCAAAGGATGGTGCAAAAGAAATGCTGCCTCTGGAGAGGATTTAGCAGGAAGTTATGTGCTCTGAGGCTTGCCCTCAAGGGGCTGCTCAGTTTGGATGTGCATAGTTAATACAACCTTTATGCACTTTGTTTCAGAATCCTCAGAGGAAAAAGTCTATGCTGCATTTTGTCTATGTTCTGCTCAGAATCAGTCTGGTGGCTCTCCTTCCTTGGTAAAGTATGAGTCTGAATTGGAGGACTAATATCTTCTGGGCTTTTTCTTATCCTTTTTGTTTTTTTTGGATTTCATTAAAAAAATTCATGCACTTTACTGGTGTGGCCACATGGCTAGCCTTGCACAGGGCCTGAGCCCTCTGGAAAATTCTCCCTTGGAGTCCTCCCCTGTAAATTCCCACTTTCCCGGGATGGGGGACTCACTGTAAGAGTTTTCTGACTCAAGCTGTGAGGAGGGGGAGTCCGATTTCCCCAGAGCATTTGGAACTCATTTCAGGACTTTGTGGTGGACTTGGTGCCCTCCTAGGAACTTATCCTTGGTCTTGAATTGCTTCAGGACTCAGCCCCTTGCTGAATGAAATTTTCCTCAAGCTTAGAGCCTCTCCAAGTTCTGCTCAGTCTCCCTCAGTCAGGCTTTTCTGTGGTAGAGTTGTAGCTTTTGGGGGGGCAGATGGGTCCTAACATGTCCATCCAACTCAAAGCGTTGTGCCATGGTGGTAGGATCAGATGGCTGAGAAGCAAGGGCATAATTCACCCTCCATACAGCCTGTTAGTGCTCCATCTGTGAGGCAGCCTTATTTGGGCTTATCCGTGTGCTTGTCTGGCTACTTGTGCCATTACTGAAAGAGGAGCTTAGCCGCTGACTACCCAGACTGAGAGAAGTAGAAAACAAAGAATGCTGCTCACTACTACCCAAAAATGAAGAAAATAAAAAGATAAAGGAAAGGCCAGGAGCAAAGAGAACTGTGATTGACTGTTTCTGCAGAGGCAGCAGATCTGGCAGCAAGCTGGAGAAAAGGGAGTGTGGCCAGCATGGGCTGTGCTGCAGCTTTAAACCACCGCTGGAACTGCACAGGAGGGGAATAGCCCACGCACAGCAGAATTGTGGGAGATGCTGGGCTGCAGGAACGTGTAAAAGGAGGACAATTGCATACGAAATTCCCTTACTCAGAAACAAAGTTGTTGGTAATGGCTCATGCAGTCATTTCAAATACAGGGCAGACACATTTAATTGCATTGAACAAATTAGAACCTAGTTACTTAGTTACCTGCAAATATGATAGTGTCCACAAAAATGATGTGAACTCACTGCTCTTTAAATAAGTAAACCCTGGCATAAGAGGGACTTTGTTCTATTTGATACACATTTAACAATATAATCAGAATAAGACCTATATGAATCCGAGTTTATATGTACAAAGCAGCATTCATTACTATTTTTAATTTCAAAACCATGCTACTTTAATGTAAAAAGCTAGCCATGTAATAGAAGAATTGAAAAATGAAAATAGTGATTTAGAAGTGTAATATTGCATGGAACTATCATTGTGAAACAGAGAGTAGTCACTTTCGCTTCAGCTTTCATTCTTCTGTTTTCCTTGGCAGTGTTTTTAACAGGCAGTGATCGTATTCCTATTCTTGGAATGAAGTGTCTTAAACTAGTCATCCAGCCAACAGGAGGTGGAGAAGGGTATCTTCCAGTATCTCACACTTGCTTTAATCTTCTTGATCTTCCAAAATACACAGACAAAGAAACCCTAAAATCTAAGCTGATCCAGGCAATAGATCACAATGAAGGCTTCAGTTTAGTATAACTTTAGAAATGAGATACTGTAGTTGTTTAATGTGGGAGCATTAAACTAATTCTTTGTGTCTTTCTTGTGGTGGTAAGTTCAGTGGACAAGTTGACAATGTAACAACTGATTATTTACAAAATGTTCAGTGATATGAATATTCATGGAAGGCAAAAAGTCCTTACAAAAATGAACTGTTAATACACAACTTGTATAGAACCATGTTTTTGTCATCTTAAAATAAAAATGAGACTGTGAATGAGACTCAAGTTTCACAAACATGAATTTCAACATTTCACATATTATAAAAACAATTTAGCGTCTGAGTGCATGAAAGACTTGCTTAATTTTTTTCAATCACAGAGTGAAAACACTTTTTCCTATTATGATAGTCCCATTTGATTATTTTTCATTTTGTAAATAAAGCTTTGTAATAAAATAGTTTCAGTTCTGATAGCAGTATGGTTTTCTATTGCGTGTAATTAAACTTGAGCTTATTTTATGGCTTTTAACAAAAGTGTGATTCTGGAGATGTCTTTTTCCAGTGGTGGGGTTTTTTTGTTTTTGAAAACTTAATGAAAACAATGATGGTTGAAATGAGCTGCCCTTTATGATGTACAGTCCAATTTCCATGGCGCAATCACTTATTCGTGCTGGTGCAAAACTGCAAATTAGGCTTTTGTTAAGATGGACCAGAAGACTCAATAGGCCATTTCATCTTATTACTGATGGTATAATTAAATTGATAAAATTATAAGGGATTAATTTAGGATTGGGAATCCAACCTCTGCAGCCATAGGTTTAAAAACATAAATGAGGAGCAAGACAGTTGCTATCAAGAGTTTAAACATTTCATTTTTAAATGTTGAAAGTGTAGTTTTTGGTCACCTTTTTTCAGCTAAAATGCATTTGAAATACCCTTTTAACCCTTTTTGGAACTTCTTTTGAATTTTAATATAAGTACTCGGAGATGACTGTGCTTAATGGAACGTATTCAGATTTGACTTTCCTGGTCTGGTTAAGTTCCAACATACTTATGTCTTATTGATACATATGTGACTTTCACCTGTGAAACAAATATTTTTTTTTTTTTTAGAGTTTTAAAATGCAGTGAAAACAAAGCTAAAATAAAATACTTGAATGAAAGAGTTTGTTGCTTCATGTACGTGTTCATGTATGGATGCACATATCATGCATATTTCTTTAATTAGAAGGTAACTTCATTAAGCAAAAGACTAGTTAGAATATTGAGACCATCCTGGCTGTGACTGTTGTATTGAAACAATTCAGAACAACACAGGGAAAATGTAAATAAGTCTATAACCATCTCCTGGTGGTGTATGATTGCAGCCATGACATTATACATGCACATGCCTATAGCTCAGGTGTGACCTCTAACTTTTTCTTCACATACTACTGTTGGCAGGCATACTCCCACCATGTGAGAGTTAAGAAACCAACACCAATGAAAATGTTTTGGTCATAAGTAGGGACCTATCAAATTCACAGTCCATTTTTGTAAATTTCACAATCATAGCATTTTTAAAATCCTGAATTGCAAGGTTTCAGATATTTAAAAGTTAAATTTCATGGTGTTGTAACAAGCCACAAATATGTATTTAGAAACAACAAAATATAAACACGTAAAGTCCTTAAGACTCAGCATTTCTCAAAGTGGGGGTCCTGACCCAACATGGGGTAACAAAGCTGTGTGTAGGGGGTGGGGGGGGGGTTGTGGTATTGCCATCCTTACTTTGCTGCCTTCAGAGCTATGCACTCAGAGTGGCAGCTGCTGTCTGGGTGCCCAGCTTTGAAGGCAGCACCACTGTCATCAGCAGCACAGAAATAAGGGTGGCACTACTGTGCTATGCCAGATATAGTATAGGGTAAAAGTACTCTAAAGACCAGATTTCACAAGGGCGACCAGATTTTTCATAGTCCATGATGTGTTTTTCATGGCTGTGAATTTGGTAGGGCTTTAGTCATAAGACTAAGGAATTTTATTAGAGATGGGAGAAAGAAAACCAACCCACATTTATTAACCAGTACTAGTAGAACACTTCTTCCTAAACTCTCCTCAGTTTTATGAAGGATGATAATCCATGACACACATTTCTGCAGTGTTGTGCATTTAGTTTTAATTAACCTAGGGTAAAACAACAAGATTGGAGTTTTTAATGAAATCCAATAGAAACCAAATATGAAGGTAGTAAATATTTTGCATGCAGATTTAAGTGCACATCATATTGTGCAGTTTAGACACAGTGAAATCCGCTTTGGTTCAGTTAAATAACACAGATTTTCAATGTGGGACATCATGATGGACAAGCTTGTAGTGAGCACCACATGATGGGCAACGCTGGCTTTCTCCTGCATGCAACCAGAACCAAATGACAGCAGAGTTGTCCTCCTCACCTGGTGTGAGAAAGGAAAAGCAAAATTAAATGTCCATGCCTCTTTTGATTTGTCATATTCAAGTCTTCTGTCACATGTGCATTCTACAGTGCCCTGTGGGCTAGAATTCTTAACCTAGTGGGCATCTTAACAGAAAGTTTCAGTGAAGGGTTCAGTAATTGAATCAACATAGAAAATGAGCAACCCTGTTTCATCATTCCTTTCTGATGGCAATTTCCATCACTGTTAGTCTATATTTTAATGTGCAATGTATTGGATTTTTTTGAGGGGTGAAACAACAAGTGATGAACTTGAAGGCTTACTTGTGGCTGAATAAGTGCATACTGATCACTCTCACGGGGGAAAAAAACTAGCTTTTGGGAAAACTTGCATATACCTTAAAATGCTTAATCTTGCACTGGGCAGGCACCAGAGAACTCAAATAGTGCAGGTGTACCCCATTATACTTTTGTTGTCTTACTGAAAAATATATGCTTTTAAGGAATCAGTAAAAGTAACATGACCACCATGATTTCTATGATCTTTTGAGATTATAACCCCTATTCAAAGTGGGACCATTTTCATAACTGGAAATAGAATATAGGGTACCTTGATTTTCATTCAGTCATGCCTCAGACACTAGTTATACTAATTTCCACTTTGTAAGCTGACCATTACAATACACCCTTGCTGATTTGTGTCTGGTACTGGTAGATGTCTTCAGCCCTGCATATGCACCACTGCAGTGATGAAGTTCCAAGCCTAGCGAGCAACTTTCCTTAACTATAGAAATTCCTTTGCTAGCGTCATATTGCAACTGCCGCCCCCACATTATTTGCAGTGAGTGCTACTCTTCACTTACTGGTTTTCCAACCTCAAATCAGTTTAATGCCTGAAACACACTAGTTGTTAATGCCAGTGCTTTGACTCTCCTTAGAGATAACTAGCCCCAAATAAGTGCTCTTTTTTGACTAAAAATGACATTGCAGGTTGTCATATTTCAACTTCTAAGTAAACATGCTCCAGACTGCTAACTCAACACGATTTGTCCCAGGCGATGATACATAAATTCTACAGTCCAAATTATGCCTTAACTTACACACAACCCCTATTGTTTTTAGATGGTGTGCTCAGTGGTACTTGTACAACCCTCTTTCCTTCAAGGTGGTTGCAAAGGTGTTAACCAATCCTGAAATCAGAACTGCTTTGATACACAAGAAGGAATAGAAGCCAGCTCACTCCCTCTTAGCTATATTCACTCTACCATGTTAGTAAAAGCATTAAAAAATGAAAATGTATTTCTGTCACTAAAATAGGCAGATATGACTGAATACCCATAGAGAAAAGAGGATCAATTTTGAGAGTGAACCTTTTTGAAGTATTAATGTAAATGTATTAAAACAAAAACCTACTATAAAACAATTCATGTTTTATAACTTTAGATAGTATGTGACCTAAAAGAACATACACAAAGTTGTTCTGATACATACAGATACAGCCTACTAGCCTCTTCTTGTTGATGGACGGAACAATATGAGGATCCTCTCTAGTTCCTGCATATCCCTTGGGTTTGAGTATGCTATATGGATCCTTGAGAAAAGAACAAAACACGAATCTCAGTTACTAGACCAAGAACATTGTTAACCAGTAGTATCAAAGATTGTGTCACATATATATAAAATATAGCATGTATATAATAAAGGTAATTAAATTGCTGCTGTTCTATCATCCGAACACAGATAGATTATCTTTAGAATACCAGCATACAGGTACATGAAACTAATAGAAGGGAAGATGAGGAATGTCAAACCTTACTGTGTTAGACACTGATTTGTCAAGTGGGAGAGAATTAATATGTTGAAGTTATTGTACAGGGTGTCAGTTCACATGCAAGAATCAGTTTAGAGTATCAACTATTAGTGGCAGCTAATTTGTGCAACTAAAAATACATGCTGAACTCATGACAGCATACTAGCTGCCTAAAGCACTGTGGTGTTACATGCTATTTATAGTGCCTTTTTATGAAGGCACATTAGTTTCTCCCTAGTCAGGGTTGAACACAGTACTCCAATACATGATTATTTTGATTCCCCCTCCTGACAGCCAATAAAGGCCAATCTGCCTGAACTTTCATGTGCAATATTATGCTAAAATAGAAATATTCTGAGAAACCTGAGAGAAATGAAAAAGTATTTGAGAGAGTTTTTCCAAAAGAGATTTTCTCCTTCCTCTTTTTGTAAACAGTTTGGTAACTTTTACTTCTGTGAGGGTGTTTTGGCTCATCACACATTAAAACCAGCTTACTTTAGAAACTCGGTCTGTCTTGTTCTGTTGGTCTGTCTTCAAATAGATTGAGGGGTGGGCTCATGATTTAGGGGCCCAATCCTGCACTGCGCTCTGCACAGGTGCAGTTCTTAAAAGCAGTTTGTGCATTCTTTACAAGCCTTAATATGTCCACTAGCTAGATGCCAACTTCCTAAAGCACTCTAAGGATCACTGAAAAATTAAGTCAGTTAGGCCTTGGGGGAGAGAAGGAGATCTCTACAGAAATAGTATGTTTGTGTGGGGAGGGAGTTAGCAGGGAGAAGAAATATACGAAGAGGCAGTGTGGTGCAGGGAATTGCATGGAGGGGTAGGAGCAAGGAACTTCTAAGTTCTATTTGCTGCTCTGCCACACATGGTAGCTTTATAAATTCTTATTTTCTATAAAACAATCTTCATCCTAGGTTCTGTAAGTGCTTTAAAACATTGATGATGCCTCAAACCTCCCTGTGAGAGGCAAATATTACAGATCAGAAAACAGGCATAGTGAGAGTTAAGGGAATTGTCCAAGGCCACATAAAGAGTCAGTGATCAATCTAGGTTTGAAACACAGGTGTAACACCTAGTCTCATACCTAATCCAATGTAGCACATCACAGCCAGATAGTTCACTTAGGTCCCAATCCTGCAACTGGAGCTGCACGTGTGGATCATTGACCAACATAGAGCCCTCCATGTGGATGTGTGGTGGCCTATGTGGATCCAGCTGCAGAATCAGGGCTTTAGATTCTCCAGGTCTGCTTCCTCAATAGAAAATGGTACTTTGCAGTTATATTGAACTTTTCATACAAGAATTGCAAATGTATATTTAATTATGCTTCACAGCCTCCCTGTAAGGAGGTAAGAATGCAAAGTTAAGATTTAAGGGACCTTATTTCTGCATTTCCCAAATTTTTTCATGCTTACGGGGTGCAAGTTTTGCCTTATAGACTTTGGTTTGTTTTTAATTAAAATATTCTATTCAGCAATTTCCTCCTTCAAGTCACTGACATATTTACAACCTTAACTCTAATGTAATGCTTTCCATTTTGTCTGAATATGAATTATTCAATATTAAACTTACCTGTCCTTTTTTCATAGCCTCTAGAGTTTTCCGTTCAAGTCCAGTTGCCTGTTCCTCATCACTGGGAATACCTAAATAGGAATAGAATACTTCTGTATTTTATTCCTATTTATTTATCCAAAATTCAGATTCAGCTAATGACTGAAGCAAACCATTAAACCCATGTCCTGGACAGCATCATAAATAAATGTCCATTCAATTTTTAGTTGCAAAGCATTTTTGATTGAAATAAGATATTACATAGGAATTACCATAAGGATCAGAGAGGTCCATCTAATCCTGTCTCCTGTCTCCAATAGTAATCAGTACTAGATGCTTTTGGAGAAAGGTATGAGAACCCTGCCAGAGGTGAATTTGAGATAATCTGGCCCCCACATTAGATGTTAGATTACAGCCACTCCATCTGACTGTACTTTGGACAGTGGTTCTTTTCACATTGCCTGGGGCCTCTTCTGGTATAACAGGGATAGTTCAAAGCTATCAAATTAGGGCAGTACAGGCTACAGCCCTTGCCATATAGAATCCCCTCACAATGACTGCTTCCACAGATGATACCATGCACCAGTTAAGACACTTTCATTTTTTGTCACCTGTTCTAATGAAAAAGTAAGTTTCAGCCTTGGCTAATAGTGTCCAAAAGTTAACATTTAAGGTAGCATCAGTCCCGTCCCTAGTGGACAACTACACATCTAATAGAAACCACCACCACAGCTGGCACCTTTTGTTAGCAGTCACAGAGGCCAATCATAGAATTACAGAAATGTAGGGCTGCAAGTGACTTCAAGATTCATCTCCCCAGGCAGAGGCAGGATTAAGTATACCTATTGACAGATGCTTGTCTAACGTCTTCTTAAAAACCTCCCTGTTCTAGTGCTTAACAAGCCTTATAGTTAGAAAGTTTTTCCGAATATCTAACCTAAATCTTGCTTGCTGCAAATTAAGCTGTTGTGGACATGGAGAACAATTGATCATTGTCGTCTTCAAATACATCAAGGGCTGTTAAAGAGTTATTTCTTTCTTCAGCCTTCTCTTTAGATTAAACATGCCCCATTCTTTCAACTATACTTCATAGGTCGTGTTTTGTAAACCTCTAATAATTTTTGTTGCTTTCCTCTGGACACTCCAATTTGTCCACATCTTTTGTAAAGCGTGGCACCCAAAACTGGACAGAGTAATCCAGCTGAGGTCTCTCACCAGTGCTGAGTACAGTAGAACAATTACCTACTGTGTTTTACATATAACACACCTGTCAATGCAGCCCAGAATGACATTTGCCCTTTTCACAACAGTATTGTATTGTTAACTCGTGTTCAATTTGTAATCCATTATAACCCCCCAGATCCTTTTCTGCAGTACTGCTGCTGATCCAATTATTCCCCATTTTGTATTTGTGCATTTGATTTTTTCTTCCTAAGAGCAGTATGCTGCACTTGCCTGTATTGAATTTCATCATATTAATTTCAGACCAGTTTTCCAATTTATCAAGATCATTTTGAAATCTAAAACTGTTTTCCAAAGTGCTTGCAATCCCCCCCAGCTTGGTGTCATCCACAAATTTATACATATTTGCTCCACACCATCAGCTAATGAACTATCCTCCTACACTGAAGTATTGTTCTTTTACAAAAATTGAAAACAACACAGTTACAAATTGGCCACTAAAACACTCACCTTCTCCCTCTGCCATTTGTAAAACTTCAAACATTTAAATTCCTCCCAATATCCCCCTGTGAAAATCCCATGTGAATAGATTTTTGCCCCAACTACACCAGTGCAAAATCCCAAATGAAGACATGTCCCTAGAGAGCATGCCTGTTGATTTTTGTTTTGATTTGTTTGCTTTATAGTTTTAGCCCATTTTCCAGCTTAAATCATCTGTGTGACAATTTATAAATCAGTAACTGGATTTGAACCCTTATCCTTTGATGGCAGCACAATGAGCTCTCACTCGGCCACTGAGGCACTCCAGACACAAGGAATAGAGCTTAATGCCACTTGTGTGTATGAAGGGCTTTCAGGGCTCCTGTGGCTTGGCTGAATGGCAATAAACATAAAGCCACATTCCTAAAGCATTGGATGAAAAGACTTATTTTAGTCCCAACATAGATTCAGCGCCCCAACTAATTGGCTAGAACTGTGGTGGAGGAATTTCTCTCTTTTGCCGGGATTGTTCATCCTCTACACACCCCTAAGGGGCTGACACCTTATCCCTTGCCCCCAGCTTCTCATCTCTTGATCACCCGCACTCACTCACTCCGCATTCCCAGTCATCACTCCCCTGCCCCCATTCCGCCTGGCCCACTACCAGCCCTCACACGCCCCTATATTGCCCACCCTACCAGCCCTTACATGCCCTATGTACTTATTCTGCCTGCCCCTACACACCCCCTACCAGCCCTCACACACCCCATGCACCTACCCCCCCGCCTCCTACCAACCCTCACGTGCCCCTATGCACCTATCCTGCCTGTCCCCTACGACCCCTACCAGCCCTCACACACCCCATGCACCTACCCCCGCCCCCTACACCCTCTACCAGCCCTCACACGCCCCATGCCCCCATCCCCCCGCCCCCTACACACCCTCTACCAGCCCTCACACGCCCCATGCACCTAACCC